AGAACGGCCGTCGGCCAAAGTCCTACATAGCCAACGGCTGATACAGGACTATAATGGAATAATAATAATAATAAGCTATATAGCTATCTATCTATAAGTAGTTACCTAAGTAACTATCGGACTAATAAGGCATAGCCTATTAAGTACCTTAAGTGAACTAAGATTCTATCAAGGATCTTATGTAAAGGGCGTTCAGCCCGTTACACTTATACTAGAATTTTTAATGTTCCCGCACGATCCACTTCGCTTAGGCTCACGCCTCGCTTAGCTTAGCAGTGGTTCGAGTTTCATACGTGACAAAACTAGCTAATAACTAGAGTAAAGATAGACATGTTGATATTAGCGACATTATCGCCGTTGTTTGTTACACAGGTGGAAAAAGGGGAATCTCCACTCGACATAGTAAAGTTCCCACTACCGCTACCTGTTTTTCCCGACCCCTGAAAAAGGAACGGGCCGTCTGATGATGAATCATCACCACCAACTGTAAAAGAACTCACAGGTGAGTCCAGCTATACGTTATTAGCTTTGATAGTCTTAAATGGCGGCCGTAGAAGATTTTATGTCTTACTGTGAACTGATAATTGAAATTACCCTGACCATTCTGAAAATCGCTAAATGGAATGCTCCCAGGGAAGCAATCGATTTGACCACCAGTGGCACCTGTCGCAAGGGCGTAGAGTGTCGAGGTTGAAGTAGATGGCCCCGCAGGAGTAATGGTCGGAGGTTCACTTGCGTGTTGACTTTGAGGAGGTGTGGTAGTTGCTGCTGACGAAGAAGTCGACCCGCGCAGCGTTGCGTCTTGAGAAATAATTTCTGCGATCTGGGCTGAATTCAAACCGTCTTGATCTGTGGGAACGCTGGTGGCTGTTGGAGCATCAATTGAAGGACAGCTAGTGCTGGGAGTGCTAGTGCTGGGAGTGGGAGAATGGCTTGTTGGTTCTGGCGCATCGCTATGTCCTGTGGGATTGCTTCCGTCACCTGGCCCTGGAGCTGGAACTGGAACTGGAACTGGAACTGGTGCTGGTGCTGGTGCTGGTGCTGGTGCTGGTGCTGGTGCTGGTTCTGGTGCTGGTGCTGGTGCTGGTTCTGGTGCTGGTGCGGAAGCCCCACCGCCGTCATTACTGGCGCTGCTGGAAGTTGGTTTTGGGCTCGTTATCTGCTGGCTATCGCTTGTTGGCGCTGGTGTAGGGGGTGGACTTGGCGGCGGTTGTGACGGTGATGTAGTGGGCGATGATGAGGGGGAGCCCACTGGCGAACTGGGAGATCCTTTCTGCTGTGGTGCTGACGAGGTGGTTGATGCTGATGATGGGCTATTTTTGGGTGGGGTAGGCGAGCTTGATAGTGGTATAACTACCGAGCGGCTATTCCTGGGCGGGGTAGGCGAGCTTGACTGTGGTATAACCACTGAGCGGCTATTCCTGGGCGGGGTAGGCGAGCTTGACTGTGTTACAACCACTGAGCTGCTATTTCTGGGCGGGGTAGGCGAGCTTGACTGTGTTACAACCACTGAGCT